GTTTTTCGAATATCGTTCAGGCTTATTTCCACGTTCCGCATTCGTAGGTTAGCACGGATAGGAAATTTTCCATTTCAAGCACCAACGCAGTTTTCTTGGATAAGAACATTTTACATGTACAAAAATGCTATCGCTTTTACTGTTTCGTTAGTACTGTACTTCATGTAATTGATCATTTTTAATGCCTATTTCAAGCGGCGTAATGGAAGCATCGCCTTGCTTTTAGCGGCCTAGGGGACTATTTAAATAGACCAAGGCTCAATGGTATTTGAACACAGAAGTATCGAAATGGAGGATTATAATAGTAAACCCATAAAATCAGGTTTGTCTTTATGCCTACTGATAGTGGCATTTCGGTATGTGCTTAAAAAGGCGCTTGTTCAGATGTGTTCTGTGGTGAGGCTTTGTGTCCATGCGCTTCAGATGCGTAAATAGCATAGAGGTGCGTATTAATAAAATGCTCTTCTAGGTCGATAGCAACAAGAGACAGTGCTATTACGGTTTTATTCCTTATCAAAGGATTAAGTGCTATTTTTTTATCGGCGGTATCCAAAACTAGCAGTATGCTAATAAACCTATAAGATTGGGTTCGTTTTTAAGTCTTTTTCGTTGACTTCAAGAGGGCTCACTCGTATTTGTTAAATTTTATCTGAGTGATCTTCAGGTTCATTTTCTCTCCGGTTCTGAATCTAGTGGCGATAGCTTTTGGATTTTTCTTTGGAAGTCTAGTAATATTTAGAAAATCTGAATATCATCCGTACACGAGAGATGGCTCAAGTGATGCCCGCTTGTCTTCAGCCTAGGATTTTTCGAACGGAGTGTCACGAGAACCCAAGACTTCTGTAAATAGCTGGTGATATAGCGTCTCCCTCTCACATGCCTTTTCAATTCAGTTTAATTCCTTTAGCGCTTTTTTCAGGTCGTAAGGGTTGATACGTCGGGCCGTGCTTCCAAGTGTCAGGCGAACTTTCCGATATTTAACTTATTCATGATTTCGTGAAAGTCCACACTTGCAATTGCGTGCTTGAAAATCGCGACTAGGCCTTTACATAATTTCTTCATTCCAAAACTTCTCAAGATAATCCCCCAGCAACAGGATGCAAGTTGGAAGCCTCATCATGGCGACGAACCCTAACCGTAGAGGAAGTTGATGTTCACTGCTGGTATGAATTATTTGTTGTACCAGCTAAACAATCCATCGTAGTAACTCCTGCTCATTGCTTTAGTTTCAATCTTCGTGACTTATTGAAGAGAGGCAGATGAGCGGCAACAAACTTATCGAAATGTAGTTCTTCTGATTACCTTGTCTCTTTTGTGTAGAGTAGAATCAAATATGCGTTAGTCCAACCGCCTGGAATTTTCAGTTCCATCGGACAGCGTTCCACAGACAGTTCCATCAATTTTCAGTTCTGCCCAAAGTGCGCTCATATCTTGGTCAATGCCTTACCGTCTGATTCCAAGTGTTCCACTCCAGTACCGTCGCCTTCAGGAGATCTTTATCAATTCAATTTACCACAAGTATTCCCGAAAAAATGCAAAAAGTTTCAACTCACGTTTAAATAAGAATGAATCAATTAAATCACCGACAGTCAAAAGGAATTTTAAGATGGACAATAATGAATTATAATAATCGATTTATTAAATTCCTTAAGCCCAATGATCTCTTGTAAGCGCAATTTGCGATATAGTTCACTTTCTTTTTAAGATGAAGTTGTTAAGACATTTATCAGTGAATGCCAAAACTGACCTTCGATATGCTTCGGCTCGCCATTTGTGCGGAATGGAACGAAATACTCGTCCGAAAATCGACCAGGAATATATTATCTAACTTAATCGATTTTACTAGACCACTGAAAACTTTTCTGAATTCAGCACCCTTGCAGTCGCATACACACACACACACACCGGCAGTTTAAAAAGTTTCCGATATTTCGTTAGTTCTTTTTTGAGGCAGATGAAATGCAGAAAGACTGCGCAGCGAATGATTGGTATGATGCAAGCGAACTCTCAATACCTTCGAACAAATGCGGAGCCTCTTCAGACGACACAAGGTCGATATTGCTGTCTAACTTTGCCACTCAACATTCACCTGAGGCTTACGTCCACATGCCTGATGGATATCTGTTTATGCCCTTCTTAGAAATAGCCTTCGCAAGTTGAAGAGTTTGTAGTGAGAGTTCTATTATATCTTCGTTAATAGCCTTTCTACAGTGAAAATCACAATCTACGATTTCATGAAACTCAGCGTGAGGACAATCTCATGCATTCAGCGTCCAATTTAGCTAAGTGGAAATAAGGAAAGCGTTCGAATTGAAATTAAGATTATACAAGGGTAAGAAGGGCAGTGTCTTTGGCATACCTTAGATCACTTGTCGTAATGTTCAATAGACGTCAGCTAAAGGTGTAAAGAATGAGCAAAACTTGTGACAAGCATGATCGGTTTGCTATTCCGTACGTAGTTAAGCGTACTGCTAATTTCCTAGCGCCGAAGCGAACAATCTTAAAGGCTTGAGTAATACGAGGCAAGCAGATGGACAATAAGAGGCTTCACTCTGATATCATTCAACAACATTAGAATCAATTTGGCTTGTGGCACAATGTTACAGGCAAAACAATAGTCAGCGAAAGCATTATGTACCAGATACTTCTCAACGACTGATTAAGGGACAGCGGTGTTGAGTATCACAGCCAGCGCCTCGATCATACTTCGTCACGTCTTTAACTAAATTTCCAATAGCCAACTTTCTTAGGCACTCTTCCATAAGGATTGATAATCCATTTTCCTGCTCTGTTGCGTGTCAATTTTTTTCTGGAAATTTCAGAAGCTTCGTTCAGTTATTACAGCACGTGATCGACTCATTATCAGTATCGTACAAGGACTCTTATAGAAGAGTCGGTTAACAATCATAAAACAACGACTTAATGACGAAACTTTTGCAACAGATTTCACTAACCTTGATTTTAACGTCATTTTTTCGCAGGCGTATTGAGAAACTTTCAACAGTAACCTGTTTTTGACAGAGGTTCTTCATTCATAGAAAAAAATCTGGTTCGATTTCTCCATGAGACGCTAATGATTTCTTAGCATAGTCGATGATATTGGATGACGCTTTCTACTGCCGTCAATAACAGGCCTTAAAGTTATCGTGTCAAATAGACTGCAGAAAAATTTTGTTGTCAAGACGGTATTAATAATATCATTCTAATAATTTGCTAAAGTAGCAAAATATGGCAGATCTGATTAATTGTATACTTCCGTAATAAAAAAACAGATTATGAAAGATGAACCTTTGAATTAGTGATGGGTACGGTAATCTTTGTAAATACTTAGGAAGTTCTGTTACGAAGCTGCTTCTGAACGGATTTTGTTTGTCTTCACGGAAA